TATAGTGAATCACGTCCACACAAAGTTAAAACCAGGGGCGGATCTAGGGTATGTCAAATCAGTTACGCGACTGATGTTTATAGTTCAAAAATTATATATCAAATTTAATGATTACACTTTTTTTTGATCATTAAATTTTCGTTCTGTAATCGTTTGGATTTCATCGTCAAAATTCTGTTTTATGTATGAAAACTTATACAAATACCACGTTAGTAAACAGATCAGTAGATAAAAACGTATCTAGAGTTATATTAACTGGCTGACTGATAACCGGGGTGGCTCGACTGGTTCGAACGATAACGGAGTTCAAGAGCGCTTATTTAAGCTATTCCATTGGTCAATAGCCAGATCAGTGCACGATCTGGAATAGTCAAGATCAATAAGCGGGGTGGCCGGACCGATAAGGGAGTCAAATTGCTATCGTGTAATTGGTTTGTTTAAATTTTTGTCTTACTGTGATTGGTTTGATCGATTTCGACTGATGGCCAACTGAACTGACATAGTCAAGCTCACTCTCTGAATTGAATGTTTGATTGTTTCATAGTAATTTCCTAAAGCATAATAGAAACTAAACTACAATCAGATGGAATTTATGGAAATCTCTTACAAATTCATATATTGACATAAATGCCTCTGTCCTAATTGTGAATTTCAAAGACGATCTCGCGAGCGACATTTCAGTCATTGATGCTCAAAAGCAAGCCAACATTGTTTTGAGTTTCCTCAGCAGAAATTTAAATCCAAAATTGTAAGTAAAGGACATCTGAAGTGTATGCATGAATGTAATATATCAAAGTCAATTTATGCGAGTGTGTGATGCGATTTATGTCAATATGGCTTATGGTAAGCAGATTGAAGCTTCTATACTCGTTGCTGCCGAAGGACTTTTAGCTATGATTCCTTTAGTGCTTGGAGAATCGTGGCCGTTATATGGAAGCGAAATCTTACATTCCCGGAAATATATTTCAATGGACAAAAAATCTGTAGCCATAAGGCGTCATATTATTATTTACTTTGTCATACACAAATTTTTACTCTGATCATTTTTGCTTAATCTTTGGCAAAAATTTTGAGTTTTTTCTCAAAAGGTGAATTTGCTGGCACTATATGTGGAGATTGGTAAAGGGTTACAATAAACTTGCATGGTTTGAAATCTGAGCTTTTCTACATCTATGAACTGTCCCTTGTAGTACCAAATTTCTAACTTAACTCATTACATAGAGGTTTGAATGGGGGTCTCTAGGGGGGTCTATGCCTGACAACTTGGTACAAATTTTTAAAGACAATATCTTTTTTGGAATAGCATTATTTAAAATAAATTTTATGTTCCTAGACATGCTAATGAGCCATATATTTGACATGATAATAAGCCTAAATATTTGGCAAAACATTCAAGTATTGTTCATTTCAGGTTTTTTTTAAAAAAACGTAAGCCAAATGTGTTGTTTTTACGCTAAAACGATGCCAAGAAAATGCATTTTGTATTGCTCTAAAACGCTGAAAATGGTATTTCCAAGGCTCTGAAATTCAAAATTTCTCGGGGAGAAGGCCGCGACCCCCATTTGCGGAGCGCCTCTGACGTTTTATGACTGATGTTTGAAAAATCCTAGATCCACCCCTAAGTTATACTACACATTGTTTAAGATTTGAGAAAACTAACATTGATTACATGAGAAGCTGTCTACTGTAACCTGTGATTTTGAGACTTTCTGATCCAAGAAGCTTTTAATTTTGACAATTTGACTTGAATGGTATTAATCCTGAGTATTTCACATACATGAAATGTTGTGGCATGTCACATATTGTCACATATCGTTACATAGAGTTTTGAACGGGGGTTTCTAGAGGGGTCTATGCCTGACAACTTGGTAAAAATTTTTAAAGACAATATCTTTTTTGGAATAGCATTGTTGTAAAATAAATTTTATGTTCCAAGACATGCTAATGAGCCATATATTGTACATGATAATGAGCCTAAATATTTGGCAAAACATTCAAGTATTATTCACTTCAGTTTTTTTAAAAAACGTAAGCCAAATGTGTTGATTTTACGCTAAAACGATGCCAACAAAATACATTTTGTATTGCTCTAAAACGCTGAAAATGGCATTTCCAAGGCTCTGAAATTCAAAATTTCTCAGGGAAGAATGCCGCGACCCCCATGTGCGGAGCGCCTCTGACGTTTTATGACTGATCTTTGAAAAATCCTAGATCCACCCCTGAGTTATACTACACATTGTTTAAGATTTGAGAAAACTAACATTGATTACATGAGAAGCTGTCTACTATAACCTGTGATTTTGAGACTTTCTGATCCAAGAAGCTTTTAATTTTGACAATTTGACTCGAATGGTATTAAACCTGAGTATTTCACATACATGAAATGTTGTGGCATGTCACATATTGTCCCCTTTTCTAACTGAACACCTCATGTAGAGATGTAAAGGTGTGTTAATCTACGGCTCATACCAGATTGTTTGCCATAAATTCCAAAGGGCTATTGATGTATGAAAAGCATTTTCTATAAAGTAAAAATGTCTTCCTATGTTTGCAGATAAGCCTTGAAATTTGGCAAAACAGCAAATCATTTTTCATGATCACTAGGTAATTTTTTTGATGATCATTATAATTTCTTAACTAAATTATTTCAGATTTACATTAAAACGAGCTTTGATCATATGAAAAGATATTTATCATAACCAGTAAACATGACACATAAACCAATTTTTCATTCCTGTAATTATATAATTAAAGGCATGTTGGTTACATTCTGCTTGTATTGGCAAATACAATGCTACTGGTCATTGCTATATAGCACACCTTGCATATACTTACAGAAGATAATAGTCTACTGAAATGCCTAATAAACATTAATGGTATTAAGCTGTCCTTAATTGCAAATTTTCACTCTGATAATTTTTGCTTATTATTTGGTAGAAAAAAATTTTGAGTTTTTTCTCAAAAGATGAATTTGCTGGCACTGTATGTGGAAAGATGGGTAAAGGGTTACATTAAACTTGCATGGTTTGAAGTCTGAGCTTTTCTACATCTATGAACTGTCCCTTGTAGTACCTCATTTCTAACTTAACTCATTACATAGATGTTTGAATGGGGGTCACTAGGGGGTCTATGCCTAACAACTTGGTAGAAACCTTTAAAAGCAAATTTCTTTTTTGGAATAGCGTTATTGTAAAATAAATTTTAAGTTCCTAGACATTTAAAGTTAGTAACGCATTCCACACCATCCAATCACATTAATCCACCAACTCATCCAATTAGACGCCCTAAACATCTACAAATTAAAAACAGTACTAAATAACTTCGTGTATAATTCTGATGAAGGCTCGAAGCACGAAGTCGAAAGCTCAATAAAATCATTTTAAACAATCTGGAGAAATTTTCATTTTTATATATTAAATATGCCTGGATTACCAATCTTTAAACTTAATTGATATTTTTATAGTATGTATAATATACATAACTGTGGGTAGATACACAGCTACTCTATGTGTAATGTGTTTTCAAGGTAATCTATTCATTTAAAAATAACATTCTGCCAATTAATGCTCAATATTAGTAAGTGTGTGTGATTATTTACACAGTTTGTGCTTGTGTCATGTTTTACTGACTCATATATGGATGCTGCGTTCTCATATGAGATCAATTTGCCTACTTGTTTTTACATAACTTTAAACACCTTGACACATTGGGAAACGCTAAAAACGAAAACGTTGTTACGATTCCTACCACAGCTTGCATCCTTGTAAACAAACTAATATTCTTTCCACCAAGACTTCCATAAATGGTGCGTTGGCTCTGTCCTTTAGTATAATTTATCTTTTATTCCGTTTAATAGTAAGTGTTATTTAAAGTAAGTGTTTTCTTTTTTCTTTCTTTTGTTAGAAGCCTGCCTCAGAGCTCATAAAGATCAAAGTCGAAGAACAAATTGTTGAATTTTAGCAGGCAAGTTGGTTCCTGATTTAAGGTAACATGTCATTATAGATGTTACTGCTAAGATTTCTGGTTAAAGTTTATAGATGTCCTTTTTTGGTTGTTTGATTTTCTCAACTTAGACAGGGAGCATTTTAATTATTTTAAGGATTACTTCTCACTTGGTTAACATACGTATTTGTTTTCTTCTTGTCTACGTAAGTCGAGAGAAATACACAATAACATTATTGTCATATGCACTTAAAGAAAGTGAGCAGTTGTCTTTCTTTGTCCTTCACTTAAAAGTCAAGCAAACTGGAATGGACGCATATACGGACTAATACGTACCTTTAAAAACGTTCATTTTATTGAAAGTATTAGATTTGTGAAAGTTTTAATTTTTTTTACTCAAACTGCGTATATAGCTTTCATTTTACAATTGGTTTAGCGTGTTATTAAACAATTAATGAATGAAGTAGTATGAAGACTTATGAAGGTCAAGGTTTGTTTAATCTACCAAAGCTGAGGTAGAACACATTGATGCCTTGATGATTCGTCATATTACGCAAAAACCGACTTCAATAGTTGTTTTATTCCAAAGCCATCGTCAGAGTATATATATATAATATATTAATCCTAACAAGGTTTTTAATATTCACATGAAAAACATGTGACTTGGACGAGATTTGAACTCGAACCTTCGGGTACTAGTTCGCGGACAATAAACAAATATATACATATATGTAGTGATGTTGAAAAAAATCACGAAAACTACAGGTTCCTCAATTGATACTGTAATATTTTTTAAACTTCGACTCTGTCTTTAAAACACCAATGCCGCTCAGTTTGGGCGTGAGTTCTGTCAACAAAAACGCAAATGTCTCTATGAAGGTTTCTTTTAAGTCTGAGAAAGGAGGAAGCTAGTCTTTCACAGAAAACATGTTAGTCCTGTTTATAAAATCTATTAATGGTCCACGACTGTGTTGCTATACTCTAATACCCATAACCCCTAAAATACGGCGATTAAACAAATCTGATGGTGTTAAGCAGAGTGAAGCAGACAGCTAATGTTGAGAAATATCAAAAGAAATCTTTTACTCCGAATTAACGTCACATATTATTGAATAACAAAATATTTAAATAATTATACTACACATTTCTACACAACAATTCAAAATGTATTCAATAATCAGTAAATAATAGAGTGTTAACCACCCAAAGTCGTCAAACATATTTGGTATTGGTATTTGAAGTCAGAAAACGTTTGGCCGTCTAACTTCCCATCATTGAATGCCTTGTTGATACTAGTATACAAGTCGAGGATCGAAGTACGATGAGACTGTTTGAAGCAAACTCGTAGGTACTTGAATACATCAGTGATGACTTCGCAAGTGCAGCGAATGCTGTCATCGTGAAGAGTAGTTGGAACGAGTGAACGCAGAATATTTTCCGTAATACCCTCGGATAGTTTACAAAGCTGAAGTGTGACTGCTTTCACATCTTTACAGACTGTCTCAATCAACTCTCCCTTTCCAAATTCCATAGAGATTTTAAATGCAAAACTCCAAACTGTCGCACACCACTTGGAAAGTGCCACAAAAAGATCTCTGTATTGCTCTGAATCACCTTCCAATGGCAGAGTGGCTTCATCATACAAAGCACCTACATTATTGGCCAGTAAGAGAATGGCTTCGACAAATTTGAGCGTTTTATACACTGCAGCTAGCGGTAAAACATGATACGCTGTAAACAATGTGCTAAGCGTGTTGGAAAAAATTGGAAAAAGACCTTTTGGATGTTTAGTTTTAGGCATTATTTCACAAATAACATGACTTATCTTCTTTAGATCGCTCCATTTTTCCTTTGTAATTTGAAAATTCAACATCTTGCCATCAAAGACGGCAATAACTGCGTTTAAGTCTTTAAAAGAGTAGAAGCCTGAATCTTCAAATGACAATGCTCGAAGCTTATTTAATTCCTCAGTGCTGTAGCCAATAATGACGGAGAATAAGAAACTGAAGAAATTACTAAAGTTTGGTGTAGTGCACTGATTGCTATTAAAATTAACCAATCGAAAAAGAACGAAAAGAAGATATTCAAATACTTCAAATGAAATACACCTCGAGTGGCATAACCGAACCAAGACTTCATACAGATGCTTGGATGGACATCGCTTATTGTAGAACAAAAGTTCTATTAGAAGTTTTTGAGCTTTCACGGATCGCGTTGAAAATTTTTGAAATAAACGGGGCAAGGTCTCCCCAATGCAGTTCGACAAATTTGGAAAATTTTGCAGACTTGCAGATTTACAAATCGAAAGTACCTGACAATGTAGTTCTTCAGACGTGTCTTGGCGCAAATGTTTCAACAAGAATATTATCCAATCACTCAACACAGCAATCATGTCATGCCCATATTCACTTGCACTGCCAACGATTTCTGCCAATACACTTGTTAAAATCATTTTATTAGTCCCTTTAGACCTATTTTCTTGAACAGCATACAAGCTTCGTATCAATTGTATTTTTTCACCTTTGAATACCTTAGGCATGTTGAAGACAAACATCTTGACAAGACCAACGAGTGCAACAAAGTCAAATTGACCGATCTTTGCGTTACCTTTGCTGCTACCTTGAATGGTTAATGTATTTTTTAGATAGCATAGAACCAAAGACGTTAATCTCGTTTGACCAATCGCATCGGGATTGATAGAAATGAGACGAAACAGCAACTGAGCTATAAGCATATTCAAACGTATATCGGTAATATTCTCCTGCGATTCAGCCCTTTCTTTTCGTCCACCAGCTTGTACGTGAAAACTGAGCGGGAAAATTTTGATTAAGTGAGTGTGGAGTTGGGAGAACATTTCACTTCTTAGAAAGTCTTGAAACTTGCTTTCACCCGAACAACTCTTTTCCAAACTTTCGACAAGAGAGTTGAAAATCTCGAGCATTTCTTTCATGATTAAGAGCGAAAGAGATCGCCTGGGAACGGGAATGAGACTCGTGCTGAATTCTGTAGGACAACACTCGATCCAGTACTCTAGCAAAACTGGGAAAATACGTTGGACAAACTCTATAAGCCAACTATTGGATAGTGTCGTTTTTCTGTCGGAGGAGGCACGGTTTAAGGTAAAATTGGTAACAAATACTGGATGAGATGATCTGAGGACTGTGGGACCTGTGTTGAGCGGTGAGATTTCGATGCTCTGTCGATTTAGGTCCACGCGGGCGTTTCTATGACTTCTGCTGTCGTTGTTGTCATTTGAGGTCACAAATTTGGAGGAAGTGCTGTATTTTATGTTGACCACGCCTTTAAATGATACACTGACTAGTTGATTTAATCTTTTTAAGACCGTAAGTTGTGTTGTCTGTGTTATTGTTTTAGCTTGGAACTGTACGTTATGGGACCCAGAACTTTTCTTATACAAGCTATGTTTTTCAACAGATATAATATTTATGAAATTTGACAAAACGGTTTGTGGATCTTGCCTTACAATCTGTGGGAAATGTTTTAGACAAAGGTCAAGAAATTTCATTGAGTCAATACAGACATTTTCACTTAAGTGCGTCATGGCTGAGCAAAGGTGTGCTTGAATACTCGCAAAAAATGGGGAAATATCGGATGTTGCATTACTTTCAAATATCATAGAAATAATTGCATAGAAAGCTTTGCGAACTGATTCGTGGACATCAGTGACAGTGTTCAGTATTCGCTGTAGAACTTGACCAAGATTATCCTTTAGAATCCTTGGATGGGTTTTGAATAAATCTTTAAGTCCGATGAGAGCATTCTCTCGTGCCTGAACATTGTAATGTGAGCAACAGTTAAGAAGCTCTTTAAACTTTCCTTCTTTTTTGTTGCCATCGTCACTGATCACATTTTCTGCTGGTTTCAAATTCTGGAATGAACATACAGCAAGTTAATTTGTAAACATCCAAAATGTAACAAGTAATATTAGCTTTACTTTATCAAGTCTTACTCCTTGGTATAATTATGAAAAAACTAGTAATACGTGATCATAAATACATCTTGAATTAGTAAAATTGCCAAACTCACATCCTTAACAAGAAAGTAAAGGGTGTATCCTTCCAAAAACTATGCTGCCAAAAAGTATCTTAGTAAAACTCAAAACAATTGACACTCCGTATAAAGTAAACATTGTTTATTCTAAACGTTTCGATAAGTGTTACAACATGTCCTCATCAGTAGAAAATGTGAATTTTCAAAAATTACACATTATAAATGAAAAGATAAATTTAAAGAATTAAAGATCAGGCAAAGTCTGACAACTCAGAGATTTACAATAATATACATAGTTGTGAACACTTTAAATATATATTCCTTCCTTACTAAATTTACCTGCTAGTCTTTTGGACTGTAAATATTCTTTTAGTTTAGTTGGTATAATTTTTGAAAACCGTAAAATTATTGATAGTTCTAACAATTGGTCATTATTATTCAAAGAGCATTATCACAATCATCATATTAATCCTCCACTGAGCCATGGTGTACGTGCGTCATGTGAATCAACAATTTTTTTTGAAAATTTATTTATTTCCTTTAAATGACGAGAATGAACGGTTAATCACGATCTCATTTATAATTTGTAATTTTTGAAAAGTTCACATTTTCTTCTGATTATGACATGTAACACTTGTCGAAACATTTAGAATAAATAATGTCTATTTTATACAGAGTGTCGATTTTTTATGTTTTACTAAAATAGTCTTCTATGTTCTCAATGAAACGCATCACTAGTGTTAATTAGTATAAAGAGTTGTGCAGTTTTATTGAGAACACAATGACATGAAAGTGTCAATCCTCGATGCAATAAAGCCAATACAGCATCCAGTGATTCTAATTGGAATTGATTATATGTCAACTCTTTAATTACATGTGTAGTCATTAATCAGTTGTTGTCAGACAATGTGAATCCGTAAGTTTCGGGTTCGGTTTTAAGAGACTTTTGTCTTGAAATTAGAAAGGTTATCTGAAATTTCAATATTTTTTAATTAGTTACATGATCCATTACAATAATTACATATTCTTTATTCTTGGTAATTACATGATCCATTACAACAATTTAATAAAATATAAAACGAAACAAACTTGAAATAAAATTTCCATCTTTAGTGTAGTATTTGAAATAAAAGAGAGAACGCAGTAATAAAGTAATATTGTAATTTATTACAGATTCATTATCAGAGGTAGGGAGAAGCTAAAAGTTGCTTTAATTTGTATACAGGTGCAATGACATCATCAGGAAGTTGGGTTTGTTTACATGTGTTTGTGTGGTACTGGTAAATTATCAAGTGGACATTATACAAGGGGTGTGAATATTACGATGACAATTAATTATTTGGGAGGTGGTATGAGTTCAAAAAGTAATAATTCTTTACTGGCTTTAAGGCCATTGTTCAATTGTGGTTTGTAAGTCTTGATAAATATTGCCTCCATTAGTAAAAGTTGGTTTTTGTTTTGTCTTCTTTGAAGTAGAGTATTTTGAAGGTGTTAAAAATGTGCTGGGTCAAGTAAGAACACTTACGCCTCGAGCCTAATATACTATTACTCAAACCTCTAGCCATATATATTAATATTCATAACTCTAGCCAAATATACTAATACTCACACCTCTTGCCAATTATACTAATACTCACACCTCTTGCCCAATATACCAAAACTCTAGAATAAATCTAGGGAATGTGGTTGAGTTATTTTTCATTGTTTATTCTTTATTCTTGGTATCCCAAAATATTAACCACGTGTGCATTTGAAAATATATTTGCTGCCGAGCGTCACAATTTGGTAAATTATTTTCGTGTTTTTACTTATCCACCGCCACTCTCCTCTGAACCAAATACTTTTCAAAGTTCTTTATTGTCTGCACCACCACCTCAACCTTTCGTCAACCTTAGAACAGTATTTCCAGAGGCGCTCAACAACATTTTGCTGTCAATCCCATATCATCAAAATCATGAAGGTTTTACCATTAGTCTCTTGCAGTTCTGCCCGCCAATAGTTCGCGTTTCAATTAGTTGTTCTCAGTCATTAAAGCCAGGAGGCAATATAGCCAGTCCTCATCACGAACTTACGTTAACATCCAGAATGCAAAGAAATTATTGCGATCCTTCCACTGGAGAAGTAAGAAGTAAAGTAGGAAACGTATATTTACATGCAAACTTATATCGTGTCAGGATGAAACAACCCTACTTTCCCCCAAAATTACGACAATACCGATAAATATTTTACAACACCTTGGGCCAGAGCATTTACAATTTCATCGAAGTTTAGGATTTAGTATCTAGAAAGTGCACTCCCTATTTTAGTACCCACTTTTCTAATCATTTGCACAAATACATGAAACAACCAAATTATCTTCATTAAAAGCGCATACACCAATCACTGATATTTCAAATCTGTCAGCAAAACTTGAATCACTCTTCTTATTACCAATGCCAATATGCCGATGAACATCAGAATTGTTTCAGAAAAAATAAATGTCAGTGCTAATTTATAGCTATAAAAATCATTTGCAAATAACTTTTTTAATATGAGAATAGGACGTTGTTATTCTTGTGAAAAGTCAAATTCAGAGTTGAGTTGGCTGTTGAAGCCTTATATATACACATGCTAAACTTACTTATCCTGTATGCTAGTTTTATAATTTTTATGAATGGTACTTGTTTTCATTTCTAATAAGTCAAAGCAGTTTTATGTTTCCATAATTTCGTAGCAACACGATTGAAATAATAGGTTTAACGTAAACGACAACTTTTTTAAATTTTTTATTGCAAACATGTTTTGGCAAACTTATGCCATCTTCAGTGCAGTATAATGAATGAAATAAATAATTACATAGGTTTAATATATAAAGAAATCTGATGCATGACATGTGTATAGACAAAAGAGATGGAAGCGGAAGTTATTCACAATTATGTTGTGATTAGAGGTGTTAGATTATTTACAAATGGCTATCTGTAAAAGAAGGAATGGGGAATTGGGAATAGAATGGAGGAATGGGAAAACTCGGCACTGTAAAACATGGAATGAGAAAAGCCGGAATCCGTAAAACCCGGAATGGGAAAAGCCAAAATCTGTAAAACCCGGAATGGGAAAAGTGGAATCTGTAACACCCTATTAGCTTATCTCTACTTCTGAAAATGAATTTGTATTAAATTCAAAATATTACTATAATATTATGTAAATATTTGTAATACGATCCTTATCTCAATTAACTGTAAGTCATTTATCTCTATTTATATATTTAAGTATCACCTTTTGTAACACATTCATTCGCACTGATGATGGCATAAGTTTAATGTAGACGTTCCTTTTAGATTGCTTAGAATAAGTATGTGCTCAAATCTAAACTTGAAATTTGTCAATCAAAATAACTTTGTTTTGAATAATTCTGGCATGTCATTGTTGCCAGTCTGATTTGAACCAATAAGTCACTATTGCTTTACCTACTTTAAAATTACTTTCTTTGATATCAGGACAGCTATTTTGATGTGGAAAAAACTGATCAAAGTGATAACTTAATAAGGTACCAACTTAAGTAACTAAAGGTAGTAACTTAAGTGGTAACTTTAATAAGGTACTACTTCTACTATTAAAATCGTTGATTTGTACCCTATTTGAACAAATGTTGTATCCCACTGGAATACAAGTAAAGCAAATTTTGTATCCAATACTATATTTCACTAGATCTGTCGTACATCAGGACACCACAAATTTCACACACTGAGTTGAAAGTCACAAATGATTCAAGCTTGTAAAGTGCCAGGTGGTGGGAAGTTAAACAATGAACATATTTAATACCATACAATATCTCTATACAGTATCTCAATTATTTTCTTAAGGGTCATCCATTTAGGTTTTATGCAAAGGAGGAAGAATGCGTGATTAATGTGCACATTTGCAAGCAACATGGAAAAGACTTAAACGCTGTTGTTTCATACTCAATTTTGCAATCTAATTTTGGTTCATAAATTAGCATAATGTTTGTACATTTTGAAAGAATAATGCATGTCAATAGTTTGTCAGTACTGTCTAAAATAACAGAAATCAGTAAAATTAGCATCAATTGAACATTGATTTCTACTATAAAAGCAGTAACTGTAGTCTGAGGTTGAAGACTGAATTGTAAAATGTAAACTCTCGTACAAATCAGCAGGCATGGGATGGAGCAAAAACTTATGTGAAAGCAAGGGGAAGTGCACTTGATACTTGGCAAATTTGAAGTACTAAATTATTGCCACTATTAATAATATTTTGGAAGCAAACAGTTTTAATTTAGTAGTTTGTACACATTGAAACGACTGTCCCAATTTCAATGAAAGGAATTTTGAAGTAAGGAAAAATCAAATTGTGATTCAGATCAGATTGGATATAATGACATGCTAGAGTTATTCTACTCGATTCAGATGAAAGTGAATTTGATGAATTTTAAATTTAGATTTGAGCACAAACTAAAAGCATTAATAATCAGCAAGGTTAACATTTGAACTGTAATAAAGAAGCAACTTTGTCAATTGTCAATGATTTACCAAGCGACATTTCAATTGTTAATAAATTGCAAAGTTAAAGTTTCATGTACTTTCAAAATTTTAAATAGAACTTCTACATCATACATAAAATAACAGTTAGCCTTTGATTTATGTTTTGTCTGACAGAGGGATATGAAAAGCCAACTAGTTATCAATCCAGATTTGGGGTACAGCATAGATTGTCAGGAAAAATACCAAATTCTATAACATGGGTATCCATGGGGGCACTCAGACCATGTATACTTTAAAATGTTACTAATAATAGTATTGTGCCTTAGCATTCTAAATTAAATATTTTCTGGAATTTCAATAATAAATACTTGCACAACAATACTAAAGTTGATCACAGCTAATTTCAAGTCTTAGGTTTTAAATTCCACTCTTAACATGGTCATGACAGCTCAATAGATCAGATACATACTTGTATTATATTTATGCTCCTTGCTTTAAAATTGGTTTTTGTCACGTTGTCTGGCAGGGGAAGCTTCTTTCCAACTTTGAGTTTTTTTTTCTTGAAATCCTGTTCTTTCAATCGCCGTTTACGTTTATTTTTACTCATTGCATTCGAACTTCTGATCCCATAAACACGACAACACAAATGACGAAATCATATGGCAGCATGTGCGCTAGAAGCACTGACCTGTATAATTAACTGGACGGGAAATCCACATCCAAATTACAACATTTGAGAGTTTACGTTGCACGGTTTTTTTGCGACGGCGACGTCTTGTGTTTCACAACGCCGGCGCAAGCGTATTTTTAGTTTAGGCAAATTTACAACGCCGCAACAGCGGAAGAATAATTGGTGAGAATATAAATCTGAATACATTGCTTTCAAAAAAATTCAAAAACAAAATTGCCGAAGTGGAGAGCAATTCGAGAGCGTCTTTTTATGCCTTATTCGGATCAATCAATCGACGACTGTACTCTGTTTTAACAAAACATTTCAGTCTTTTTTAACAATATTCTGCATCAATGTTAGTAAAGCAGTCTTTTGAAGTTGCAGTTGATGCATTAGTTGCTCTTGCTGCCTTTGCTGAGCAGCAATGCTGTCAGTTAAGGCTTTAGTGAGAGCTTCCTGTTGAGAAATGATGTTGTTTTGTTGTTGTTTTCTTTCATCAGCTGCAGCTTTTCTCAACATCAATTCTTCTCTTTTAATTTCTACATCAACTTTTGACTTTTGTTGTAAATACACAATGGTTTCACTTCCATTGGATAACATTCTTCTTTTAGGTTTTTCACCATCTTTACTTTAGATTTTCTTTTGTAAGTTTCAGCTAATGTTTCCATTGACTGTTGTCTCATTTCCACAGCCTTTTCTACTTCTGCAACAGAGTTTTGTTTTTTTTTCTCTCCCAAAATTTTCTCTTCTTCATCTCTATTTCTGAACAATTGAATAATTTCCTCAATGGAAGTTTCTACTGCAGATGGCTCTGGAGAGATCCCAGAACCTTTTTCATCCTCTCTTAATCTTTTCTTTTGTTGTTTTTGAAGTAAAGTGTAGTGGTCTCGAACAGACTTTCGCATCACGTTAAGCTTTGAGCTATCCATATCATTTAATAAATCATTGATCATTTCCAATGTATTACCTCATTGCTGTGGTTCTTTTTTGAAGGTAAATGGTTGAAAAAAGTACATTTCACGAACTAAAGTTTCATTATGTTTATTTTTCCAAGTCATTGCTTTTTTGCTAAAATTACAAAAATACTTAAGAATGCAAAGGAAACCAAACAAATAAACTAATTATAAATATATAATATTTTGTGTAATATAAAAATATAATGAAATATTAGTTGAGTTGTAATATTTGAAAAACAATCGATTTAGTACTCTGTGTTTTGATGTTATAATACAATTTTTATGAATGTAATTATTGCTTTTACAATTCAGTGCCGTCGCTTTTTTACAGTTACGTTTTCGCTTTTTTGAAATCGCTTCATTTTTTAATACTTTTCTCATTTTAATTTATCTTTTATCATTACAGTTGATGCTTATAGTCGATGGTATATATTTGGTGTTTTATCATTGATTATTACCTCATCTCTTCTTTGTTTTAAAACTTTCTTTGGCAGGCAAAAAAGTAGCAGAAGCTTGTTTTGTTTGATAACAAATTAACATGATGATAAAAAAAACACAATTTGTGTTGAGGTTTATTATTAAATTAGTGAAATTTGTAATCCTGTATCAAAGAAAAAATACAAAAAGAAAATTCAATGAATCGTGTAATAAATCCTTCATTTTCATTTTTTATGGTTTGTCAACAATTTATGTAACACAAGACTTATAAACATATCACCATTATTTTCATTTCAGGTATAGTAAAAAACTGCATAATAATATAATGGGAAAAGATCCAGCTAGTTATTATTTAGGTGCAACAATTCTCAGCAAAAATAAAGAAAGTTGAGCCTAGAATCTTGATGGCTGAACAAGAAAGTAGGCAACACGACTGTTATATAATGAGCAATCGAGATTCAGGAAACCAAGCCAAAAATTAACAAAACTCAAAAGAGTCGACCTTTTTCGTCGTATGAATACGTGTCCATCAACTTCGCAATTTTGCACTGATTCGATAAAAAGAACAAGTACTTCAGAGCCGCGTTTCGAAATAAAAAAAACTTGACCACCAAACCCAAATAAAATTATCTTTTACAGTTTACATACAATACTCTGTCCGTTGTCTATTATTCAATTTAAGCTCAGCCACAGGGGGGAGTGAATGATAAAAATAATTTTTCAAGTGAAAGTTTTTCACTCAAATTTTCCTTGTGGCATCCATGTTTTTGATACCCGTGTCCAGACTCCTTTTCCCCACCAGGTAATTTATTAGAACTCAATATCTAGAAGATAACAATTAAACTTATCATCAAATTTCAACGCATGCACATTATCAAATAACATTTTAACTGACCTCTGCCGCGACGCGAAGAGTGTTTTTATATGGAAGCGAGCTAGCCCGGGTACCCGGGTGCTCGGATCGCTATGCCGGGATCTTGAAGCACAATGTAAACAATAGTAACATTCATATTGTGTTTATATGTGAGCCGGGCTCGCGCGCCAAGACGTGACTAAGAGCAGCAGTAAACTCGCTTTGTTAGGTGGTCTTATTGCAATGTTTTCATGTGCGTGACTACTATGTGAATTAATAATGCAAGTTGTCTATTATCCATCTTCTGCCAATCTACTTTCAAATATTTTGATGCCATTTGAAGATCTACGTGAAAGTAAACGTTTTTTACTTACGAAATCTATTCTTTAGCTATGGAAGATGAGGATTCTGTTAACCAAAATGAGAAGTACTTTTATTATACTTATGAAAAATGTCTACATTAAACAGCACGATTAAAATTGAAAACGCAAACCAAGGTATTCATCAGTTAATGTTTATAGAGTAGAAGATGCTATGTTTTCACCAGTTGTACAAGGTGAATTCATTGTATTTATTGATGCATATTATTATAAAGTACAAAAGTTTAAATTTGATGTTAAACGTACATATTTGCATGTGGTCTACAAAGGCATTATAGAATAGTTCAAACGTCGAACTTTACATGAACCAAAAGTATTTATAGAAAAAGACAATGAGGTAGTTAATCGCATTTTCCTTTGTCTTTAATACGTTCGTTGCATGTAAATTTGGACGTTCGAAACAGGCGTCGATCTATGTATAAAAGAATTGAAAAATCATCGCTGAATTCGATTTCACATACTGTAATTGCCAGAACTTGAACGCATGATAAATAATGACGATCCAAGTTCTTGTGCTTTTTAAGCAATGCCGGGGAACAGAAATCAACATTGTCGAACATTTTACTAATTGCTTGATGGATTATTAAATTATTTGGTGCCAATGGATGTAAAACGTCACAACATTTTTCTCAAAAACTTTTCAATGTCATGTGGAAAGAAAAAACATACCTATAACCTTGTCAAACACTACAGACGCATTTTATAAAGCCATATTCTCATATTATTCATGCAAGAATTCTGTCCAATTATGACAACTCAAACAACTTTGAATTTTAAAAGCATTTGAAGATTTTTCGAAATGACACAAAGTAGCTAGATCATTAATTTCTGCTGTTCAATAAAATTTGACGTATTAGTCTATTAAAAACACGAGAAATGTCAAAACTTCTTGTCTATTAATTAAGAAAGAATAAAGAATCATAATATTCAAAATTTTATATATAAAAAAACAAAGTCAGTAGTGATAAAATAACATACCTAAAACAAAAATAAAGTATGAATGAATGACTTTAAAAATAACAATATATCGATTTACACATGCCCGTATGTTATTATGAACATAATAGCCCAACATAATACTTTTAAAATAGCCATCACAATAATAAAATAGAAAAGGATTTATTAATGACGTTTCGTCTTTAACTTAAGACATCTTCAGATTAACTTAAGACATCTTCAGATCATGTACTTCTGTCTCCCTTTCACTGGCCTACACTGTCTTCAGATTCGCACTCAAATCACTCGACTCTGCAATGCTGCCTTTCCTCATATCAACTTTCGCTTTGTTTTTCGTTCTTCCAGGCGTCTCTCCTCTTTCTTTCCTTTTAAGGATAGGGTTCCCAAGCTCCTGAGATCTGGTGTTGTATACTCATTTAAGTGTCGATGCTGCTCTGCATCGTATGTGGGTCAAACCACGCGTCATTTACACACCAGAATATCAGAACATGGGAATCTCTCCCTTAACAGGGAAGCCTTCCTTATGTCCACCACCATCTGCAGTTCTTTCTCATATAAGAAATACATCTCACCCTGCCGATTTTAATGATTTCTCAATTCTCTCTTCCTCCTCCGACAATTACGACCTTATGATTCATGAAAGCCTTCTTATATCCAAACTTAAATCCTCTCTTAACACCCAAGGCAACTCAATCCCCCTTCACCTTCTTTAATATACCGCCATTCTCACTTAATTCCGTCATCTAAGCTTCCTACTCCTCTCACATGTAATTTAACACCCCATAATATATGCTTGTATTTAAAACCTCGTGTATATATATCAACTCAATTAATCTGAAGATGTCTTAAGTTAAAGACGAAACGTAATTAATAAATCCTTCTATTTTATTATTGTGATGGCTTTTTTAAAAGTATTATGTTGGGCTATTATGTTCATATTGAAAATTCGCTTTCCGCCTGGCAAATCTCTGGCCCCGTATGTTATTATTTTGTTTGGTGCCAAGACTTCAAAAAGCGATTTTTCTTCTAAAAATTTTATTTGCGCTGCGTGCTAACATTTCTTATGATCGATATTTCAAAAACGCTTACACATTTCCAACCACCCCTTTAAAGTGCTAAAGTAATCATGAAATAATCATGAACTGATCATGAGCTGATGATGAACTGATCTTAATATTAGCAAAGTAACTAAAAGGTTTTATTTTTGAGAAGCGCTTCCAATTTTTTGTCTTAGTTCTGTTCTTTCATATATCTATGCTATTGTCCTTGGTAAATATCTCTCAAGATGTATTGACAAAACTATCGTTCGGTATTAAATTTGTCAAAACATTATAACACACTGCTGATTGACTAGTAATATTAGACGAAAAATTGTCGTCGATCAAC